GAGCAGATTTATTTTCACACATGCTGGGTGAGGTGTCTGCAATTCCTCCCTGCCCTGTCATTGTTTGTTCTGCTGTTAAGTGTGAATATGAGCAGAGGCCAGGCAGAAGTATAGCCCTGTTTTGAGGGCTTCTCCTGCTCCGCTGAGTGCCGTTTGCTGATGTCACACCAACTCAACAGCTTTCCAGACGTCTGAGCCATCGGTGGGGTGAGAACGAGACCTTGAGGCTGTGCAGTTGTCCTCTGAGTCTGATGTCAAAATGCAGAAACGGCGTGCATTATTCTCCCCGATTCCAACCTGGCTTATTCATACATGCATAATGCATCAGAACAAGTTTCTAGACATTCTTCACTGCAGTGCTTTGGTGTTAATAGGCTAATAGTGGACTGGATTAAGTCCTTTTCTGGGTTGTGTTAAACTAAATTGCAGATGACGTGCATGACCATGTTCTGTGAAGTCATAGCTGTGTTTTCTTGTACTGGTCTGTTTCCCTAATTACTCCTGTGCTCATGGCTGACTTTTGCACACATACCTTTTGTCTGAATGTGGGCAACTCAAACCAACAACTCTTCAATCACCTGGACGCACACCAATGACAATATGTCAAGATGAATGCAGACTTTCCAGTGTGCGCTGCTCCATACTGACTTCAAACGGATGCACACATGATGAACTCCCCGTCCAGACGCTGAAGCATGCAGGGAATGAAATGGAAATCAAACTCAATACTGCATCATCTCGTCGCGTTTTAAAAACCGAGACAGACATGAAGCCTGCAAACACACAAAACTAATAATACCACCATTCCTCTTTCTCACTCTTCCACACACACACGCATATATGCAAGCTCTGTTGCTCCCTCACATACACATGGAAACACACACCTCCCAAATGAATCACCCTCCCAAGTGCTTAGCATCATCAGCATTCCCTGAATCAGCCGTGACTGCAGAGCACAACTGCATGACATGAGAGTCTCAGGGGTCAAATGAAATGCACACTCTAAGTGCCACTTCATCTTCAAGGCATAACAGTGAGCAGCGGCTCAAGAGCGAACTCGAATAACGCTGGATTGTGTCAGCCATTGTGCTCCTCTCGCCACTTAATAAGCCTGCATGGTGGCTCATTGTGAAGCGTGGTCCTTTAGCACTTTTCTCCAGCCATGCATGACTTCTCCCCAAATGGGCTCTTCTCCAGCCCCTACTGTCTGTTTATGTAGACTACCACCAGGGCGGCAAGGAATGCACTTCCAATACGATCTGCTCGCACACATCCTTAGATGAGGAGTCTGCTTCGACTTGCTGATATGAGCTGGGGTTTTTTTTGTTGTAACTTTTACACAGGGGTAAATGTTTTGATTAAAAGGTCGTTACTATTTTGCTAGTCACAATGACTTTGTAGTGGAGGGGTTTGCTGCCGTGCTGACGGATGGATGGCCGCTCCCTGCCTCCAGTGAGCGGTTGAATCAGAGAGGAGCTGTCATCACCGGGCTGCCGACGCTGTTGCTTGAACTGAGAGGAGGGCGGGGTAGTGTGGGGGGGGGGGGCAAAGAGAGCAGGAGTTAGATGGAGAGCCGGCTAACGACGATGTGCGAAGAAATTTAGGGGAAGGAGAAGATGTAGGCCTTGAAAAAGAGAGAGGGGGAAGATCATGTGGGATGGAACAGAAGAGGTCAGTATTGGGTGCAGCTCACCTCACACCCCAATCCCAGAAGGCACTGCAGAGAGGGAGTCTGCATTACGTAAAAGGGGGGAAAGCAGGTGGTACTGTCTACGCAGTCCTGCTGTGGCTTTTGGTCCACAGTTAAATGCTCCAGTCATCTGGGGGTCCCATAACATGGTGAAAATGGGGAGACAATTACGCATTGTGCTGATCTGACACGTCAGAAGATGACGGCATGCCATAAAACCTGAGGCGAAAAGGCGTAAAGGGCTGAAGCAGCATCTCTGTGATGGGGTGGATGAAGAGGAGTAGATGAGACTCGCACACTCATAAACAGACATCAGTTTCTGCAGAACTTTCTTTCTTATTTTCATATCTCACAACGATGAGCCTAAAAACACAAATCTATGTTCAAACAAGTTTAATTCCTGGTATAATTGGATTCCTTGATGTTCACCCACAGTCATTCATTATAAAGCTTTAGTGCCCTTTGATGCCAAGACCTGCAGTCGATGAACACGACTAATGAGCTCCCATTAAACCAACATTTGACTACATGCAAATTTGAGCTTGTAAATAGAGCAATCACTAAAAGTTGTAGTGTAGTAAAACACACAGATTATGTCTGCAGTTTTAAAGTAGTCGTGCAGTGCCTCCTATTGGGCACTCCTGCAAAGTGCATGTGGTGTTTGGTGCTTTTGTCCCATTTGAATTGAAAACCTCACCTTTATTTTCTGTGTCTTGCATATATTTCAGAGTGTTGCAACAACCAATCACAGATACAATGCTAATAAATAAAAGCCCAAACAGATGAGGTGCAGCAGGTTTCTGCCTCCAATACACTGCATTATCTTTTATTTTGGTTTCACTGCAAGAATGTGATGAAGAAGCTGTAAGTACTTAATTCCAAAACAGAAAAAACACAATCCTTTTTAACCTCCTCTGTGAGAAGCCAACGCAGTAAACCCTTACAACTTCCACCTCGTACCTTGATTGTGTAACAGGAAACTAAATTATGACTTAATGGCCGCACACCGAGGCAACCAGGGGGAGATCAGCGGGCTCGTATTTACTGGAATACTCCTCGGATGATTTCCAAAACTACACGACACGACTTTCAGCTTTATTTTATGTGAAAGTTAACACTTTAAGCAACACATTAATAAGAAACAGCAGGAGAAGAAGTCATTCACTGAGCCTTGTTTAGCAGAGAAGGCGAACATTATTCTTTATGTTAAAAGCTAATGAATTGCAGCAGCAGTCAGGTCTTACCTTCAAACAATGCAGGCTGACTCGGCCTTGGCAGGTCAAAACAATTAGCCTAAGTAATTTCGTGTAAGCATGTGTGAGGCCTGCAGTTATTCTGACAAAGATACAGCTGTTCTACACCCTATAATTGAAACACTTCGGAGTAACAAGGGGGCTAAATTGGAAGAAAGTGCTCCGTTAATGTTAAGTCATTCCTAAGGTGAGGTCCAGCTGGGGACCTGTGGTGTGTGTCATCGCACACTTCACTCCCTTCATTTCTACATCAGCTTCTATGACCTAATTTCAAATCAGGGGGAAAAGACAAGTGTAAAATCATCCTACATCCTGGAGGTGTTTTCTGAGTAGTATTAATAAACTGATTTTCTGATGAAGACAAAGGTTAAATAAATAAAGGTTAAAAGCATACTGGCTTTCATTTTTAAGGTTTTCATATCAGGACATACAAAATAAAGAGGTCCTAAGTCATCTGATGTAAAGAAAGCCTCAGATGAACTACAAAATGTGACATATTACAGCATGTTGTTATTTATTTAAATTAAGCCAACATTATTTAAGCCAAAGCAGTGGGTGAAAAACTCACCCTTGCTGCTTCCATATGAATTAAGAATGTAAGAAGGTGTTGCTAATCTAACGCAATTGATTATCAGCAAGTGTAAGAAACTCTAGTCTGATCTGGAGCATTAAGGCGTGTGTTAAAAAATGCCAAAGAGGAAAGACACCAGGACTGATCTTAATGAGGCAACTTTTCCAGCCCAATAGTCTGGGAAAGGTTATGAGGACACAGCGTCATGGCTTAGGTTTGCAAATCATATCTAACCAAATCCCAAGACTTCTGTGATAATGTCCCTCGTGGACCAAAGTGGAGATATGTCCGTATGACACAAAGCACCACATTTGGTGAAAAACAATCACAGCATATTAGCACAAACAGCTGACACCAGCTGTGAAGCACGGTGGTGATGATTTGGATTTGTTTTGCAGGTGCAGGATATGGACAAAAAAGAAGAGAATCAATGTACTGCAATAGTAAAGTCAAAGTCCAGGCAGCAACCTGAGTGAAATGCTGTGGTGGGAGCTTAAGAAACCTGTGCTCAAACAAATGTCCACAAACCTCAATGGACTGAAACAATGGTGTAAAGAAGTGCGGGAACATCTTCTCCAAAACGAAGTGAGTCATCGATAAAGCCATACAGAAAATGATTACTTCAAGTAACTGCTGCTAAAAGTGATTCTATGAGCTACTGAGTCATTGGGTTTACTGAGTTTTCCACAACTTTGTTTAATTTTAAACAAAATGGTACAGTGTCACGTCACATGTTGTTGTCCAGCTCAGGTTCCATTTATCTCATTTTAAGACCTGGTTAAGCTACAGATGTTTTTTTTTAATTGTTATTTTTTTTTATTATTAATGTGAAACCTTAGAATTGACATAGCTGTCTTCTTACCAAGACTGTACCTGAGGGTACTTTGACAGGATACATAAGGAAAATACATGGTTATGTATTTTTCCCAGGTTTTCTGAAGTGTGCTATTTTGAGCTTAGTTCTTTGCTTGCTTGCAGAAAATTTAGACCTTTCCAGACACTCTGACCTGTGACAGAAGTAAAAGTCCAGATGTTACTGATAACATTAACAACAAAAGGGCCCTGGAACCGAGACAACAAGACACAATTGTTTCATCATTATTTTTTACTGTTTTCAGCTGGGCCGGGTTTTTTTTTCCGAGGGTATCCATTAAAATGTGTGCTCTTTTGTATTTTTGCTTTTTAATGCGGCTTCTTATAATGGGCTTTATGTTCTTTAATTATTGTAAAACATTGCACAGTGCCAATAAACCAAACCTAACCCTGAGTTGACTGGAATTCACCATGTACAACAGCTGTTCCTTCCTAAAAAACAAAACAAAACAAAAAACATGTTAATGTGCCCATCAAGCATATTTGAGTAACTCTACAACAGTAAAAGTAATATTTATCTTAAAAAAAAGAAAAAGAAAGAAGGAACACTAGCCAAACGGTAACTTCAGTGCAGTGAATCGCTCCCCGATGCAACTGATGGATAAATCCCAGGAATAGTAGTTGAACGCGGAAGAGAGCGGAGCTCAGATGGAATATGGCTCTCTCCAGAGGTTTGAGATGCTGTCAGAGGGTTTTCTCGTGGATACCTGTTCTTATTATCACCGCCGTTGTCTTGTGGTCGTATTACGCCTATGTCTTTGAACTATGTCTTTGTAAGTATGGCAAACTGTGTTGGTTTCCCGCGACTTTGATCGTTTAGTTACAGACACCGCAGACTACCGCACAGCGGTGTTGACATAACGTTATAGAAAGAGCAGGAAGTGGCTTCGGGTGTGTGCGCGTTCATTTACTTAATATACAATCAGATTCTCCTTAAACCTAAACTAATTTCCCATTTTCCCCTACAAGCTCAGTGGTAATTCCTGGTTTTATACCAAAACTGTTGTGCTGTTATTCCTCTTAGCTAAGTACAACCTGACAGTCTGGCTAGTCGTGTTAGCCGGTAAATGCTGTTTCAGTAAACAATAAACAAACTAGTGTTAGCCGAAACAGTTAGCTAGACTGTTGTCAGTCAGCCAACTTGGGTGTATTTCTGAAATCATGTTCTTGTTTTAACAGTTACAATCACCAATACACTGGAAAAAGGTAAGCTACCCTCTCGTCTCAGTGTAATGTGCACTGTTGAACCATGAACTAGAATAACACCGGGCTTGTTTCTGATATATTATGTATTATGGTGATTATTTCTTGTGCTTGCAGTGGCCTATTTGCTTTTATTTCATGTTTGCTTTGTGATGTTCTCCTGGACCTACTGGAAGTCAATATTCACCCCTCCTGCGTCTCCATGCAAAAAGGTCTAGAGCTAACCTGAATATCACCAATTAACTGTGGCCTATGCTGAATATGTTGTATGCAAATATCTGTCTGTCTGCTTTAGTTTCAGCTGTCATACTCAGACAAGCAAAGGTACGAAATGGAGGACAGACCAGATGCTCAGAAGCAAATCCTGGTTGAGATTGCAAAGAAGCTGCCTATTTTCACTCGAGCCCAATCTGGAGGTAAGCAGTGAAAGCATGTGAAATCATGTGAACTGTTTTTTTTTTTTCTTCTAATTTTCTTTGTCCACCTTATTTGATATAGAGTTGTGCACTAACAAGACAGGTATATTAGCCGCAATCCATCATCTCACACATAATCTGTGTTTGGTGAAAGGAAATGGGTGAGGGCAATTAGCTTTGTGTGCGCTCTGGAGCATCTTCATCCAGAGTAATCAGCCAGTATATCTCTTTCATTAATGCTGATTGGTAAGACTTAAGTTCTGGGCTGCAGGAAGTATTTGAAGGGCAAGCTCAGCTCAAATGTCGTCCATTCAACTCGCCATCCTCTTGTCTCCAGCTATCAGGTTCTGCGACCGCTGCCAGGTGCTGAAGCCCGACCGCTGTCACCACTGCTCCGTCTGTGAAATGTAAGACACCCTTTCCTCCCCAATCCCTTCATCTGGAGATGGAGAGAGGCAATTAGATATTTGTTGGCCAGGGACTGTTGTGATAATTAGAGGATGTTGCTTTTGTTTGCCATGTCATGTCTTGAAGACATTATTCCAAAGATCAATCAGTGCAGAGGTTTAGCAAAGGGAACGAGCCGATAGCTGCCAGTGTACATGTTAAAGAAAGCTGTAAGAAAAGCTTGCCTAACATGAAACAAATGCCATTAAAATGATATAGAAACCTTGTCTTGCTTTTAAGGTGTGTCTTAAAGATGGACCATCACTGTCCCTGGTAAGTTGTAATCTCTTCCTCTTCGTCAGTGTTTAAATGGTGAAATAAATGTTTTGTTCTAAAACCAGAATGTCTTTTTCCTTTTAAGGGTGAACAACTGTGTTGGTTTTTCCAACTACAAGTTTTTTCTCCTTTTCCTTGCCTACTCTATGGTGTACTGTATATTCATTGCGGCAACAGTCTTTCAGTATTTCCTCAAATTCTGGGAAGTGAGTGTCATTCTTGCTTTATGACTCATATTCACAAGTTGTCATAATGTCATTTTGAAGTCCTTCTAGTCAGCAGTATTGTATTTCCGCAAGATTCAAGCATTCTGTCATAGTTTATTCTCAGGTTTCTAGCACTCCCATTTCTCTCTTTCCCAGGGGGTCTTGCCAAACGGGCCTGCAAAGTTCCACGTCCTCTTCCTCATGTTTGTGGCTCTCATGTTCTTTGTCAGTCTCATGTTCCTCTTTGGCTACCACTGTTGGCTTGTGGCCAAGAACAGATCCACATTAGGTGAGAATTTGACGCATTTACTGATTAAACCCTCCTCCTTAAGAAATTGATCTCATTTATTTAATACATTAAGCACACATTAAATATGGTATGGAGAATTGAAAGGTTGACAGGGGAAACCTAACTAGTTTCATATCTGTTTTTTAGAGGCCTTCTCAGCTCCGGTTTTTGCCAACGGACCAGACAAAAACGGCTTTAACGTCGGCACGCGCAGAAATCTGGAGCAGGTATTTGGAGAGAATCGGAGATTGTGGTTCATCCCCGTCTTTACGAGGTGAGTTTGTTGTCAGGAGGCAACTCGTTGATTTCTATAATGAGGTGATGGCATTTTGGCATCTTTACACTGAAGTCTTGGCCCTATAGTTTGCAACAGAGTGTTGAAATACACAGAATTAATTTAGAGTGCAACGTGTGCCAAAGCCAGTACTCACAGAACATGATCTGGATCCTCACCAAAAGCTAATGGATACTTCCTCTGTTCACCACCACTTCTCCACCAGGTTCATGGAATTTGGCCTGTTAGTTCTTGCATAATGTTGTGGACAAAGAGGCTGAGCAAGTGTCTGTACCTCAGCTTACTGCCATGGTGGAGGAAGAGTTAGAGATCAGTATAATGATTTAAGTAGTACACTGAATATTTGAAGTATAAGGGACATGAATAATTGATGGGGAACAATATGACATTGACTTCAGAATACAGAGTAGTTTTTACATCAAGCTGCAGTGGAGCTAATGAATAACATGCATAGTGAAGAATTTGATCAATGGTTGGAACTTATTTAATAGTTAACTGGATCTTTAACAAGCTTCCATCTGTTTCTGTACCTCTTATATGTCAGCCAAGGGAATGGCCACTACTTTGCTTTGAAGAACCGGAGCTCTGAATCCCAGAACCCCTTATTAGCTAACGAGGACATGTGGGAAGAGTCTGATGATGGGTCTGAGGAGGGAAGCTTGGGTGAGTTTATTTAAATTCTGTCATATTTAAAATACACAGAGCTGAAAACGCCTTTTTCTCATTAATGCCCAATGTACTGTATATCCTATACAACTTATATCATCCAGGACAGCTGTCATGACCTGCTGGTCAACATATCTTCACAGTAGCACCTGATCCATGAAATATATGGCTCTTGGCTTCTATTTACTCTAGATGAGATTGCTGGTGCTAAAGACACAAGTAGCTTCCTTCCAAAAATAATTGGCTCTAATACTTTTGCATTTTTTTTAAATCCATTAAAAACCTCTTAAGAGACTTAATGCTTGAGTTTTTTCCAGAATCTGTTAGTATCTAATTACAGTTATCCTTTGTGTCATTTTGACCTTTGTAGTTGCTTTGCACTGTGAAATTTAAAAACAAAAATAAAGGGTGAGTCATGCGAGTCACAGGCAAATGCTTGCAGGCATCCGGTGACTTTTACTGTATTTTCTAAACAAATATTTTACCTACTCTATCACCTTCAGGTCTTACAAAAACAAGTAATAGTGTCCAGTGAATACTTGTGCTTTATAAGTTATTTGTGCCTGTCTCTTATTTATGTTTTTTATTCCTATGAAAGTCATATTTATTGCTCGAGTGTAGTGACAGAGAAAATATCCATTCAGAGACCCCAACTTTTCCGTAACTTGACTTTCCAAATATGGAATCCCTGCACTGAAACATCCAAAAACAAACGTTGTTGGAGGTCTCACAGTAGGAGCAATAAGATGGGCAAGGTTTGTAACCTTGGGCTAACGGCGGAGGGGATGGGACACAGTAACGACACCATGCAACGGCAGATTAGTTCAATATTTGTTCAGTTGAAATGACCTGAAGGCTTCACTATAAACTGCTGCTGTGTTTATATTTTGCTACCACCTGCTGGTCACATGAACCACACTGTTCACTACCAGATGCATCGTTTACAACAAAACCACAGAAAAAATTAATTTACATGCTGATTTTTTTTTTTTTAAATCATTCCAGCAGAGCATGTGGACCCCTCTGTTACCATAGAGATGGAGGAATAATTTACACTGGTGGAGACCTGGACTTGTATCGCACACACTGTGTATTGAGAGGTAAATGCATTTCAAATTGCAAGGACGTTCAGACACACCGAAGGGGCCCAAACAAGAGGATTAAGATCTGCGTTTGGACTGTCGTTGCCAACTCTACCCCGATGCTTCACATACTGATGAAAAAAGGAACTCATTGGATGACCAGTGGAAGCATCGCCTCTCATGTCATCATAAAATTTTATTTTCGGGGCAAGTCAAGTGTTTCCTGTTTTACAGAAAAGCAACTGATTTCTTTTTTTTAATTACAGAGAAAATATTTTCCTTGTATTTGTTATTCTTGACAGAGCACTAAACCTTTACAGCTTCTGTCTGGCAGTGTGCAATTTTACAGGTTTCTGTTTGAGAGTTAAGCTTACAGTGTTGCACCTTATGGTTTCTTTGGTGGGGGACGGGAAGGGAACTCGCACTCGTCAGGCTCCAGAAGTCTCATAGTGACTGAGTTGTCTACAAGTTTGAGGTTTACAGCATTTAAACATAAGATTTGACTTAAACATATTATTAAAAAGCTAACTTAACCTGAGCCTTACTAACAAGTATTCCTGCTTTTGGAGTCAGTATCTCCTCGGAATGTATCCTCCTGCTCCTCATCATCCTTTTGAGTACTTTGCACCAACATCTTGGGCACTTCTTCCCCCATTATGGAGTGTTTTATCCTCCCTGTTAGAGTTCGAATGTCATTAGCTCAGTGTCTAATCACAATGGTGACTGTAACAACAAGACAAGCATACATTTGGTCATAGTTAGACCTGATTACATGTTACATCTGAGTATTATGGCAAACTTAATATGTCTATCTATCAGTGGAGTCATATTCTGAATATACTGTATATCATGGCTTAAAAGCTGTTTGCTACATTGATTAAGAAGGATGCAGTGATTGGT